CTCTAGTATCCCAAAGGTCGCGGGTTCGATACCCACCGTGGTCATGCAAACTTTTCAGCTTGCCCGATGTGGATGCACACTCAGAGTAACATCACAAACGTCATATATTCATGTTGCAATTTATGAGAAATGATCAACTCTAGGGCCTGTTTCAAACGTGACGCTTCTCATGTGCCGAACGCATTAGAAACAATAGATAATGAGACATTTCAGCTGATTATCTATTGTTTTTAATGCGTTCGGCACATGAGAAGCGCGACGTTTGAAACAGGTCTAAAACAAACCTACACTTCTCATCTTATTGAAAATTTTGAAGAATTCCGACCAGCGCGTTAAGATTAATCATTGTTCCGAATAATATGGAGGAAAAAATGACCTTTGTATTGTTGATTTCTTTCCTGTTCCCGGAAAATATCCGTGACTGAAGCTCCTGTCAAGTTGAGATCCTGACAAATAAGCAGTTCTTATTGGCCATCATTAATTACTCGTGCTCACTTATTGGTCAAACAGGGCGAAAGGTGTGCAAGTGCTTTGAAGCCATGTAAATCTTAACTGACAATCACGGATTGTGAGACACGAGCGTCCTATGTCCATGGAGTACAATGTTGTAAAGGAATAATTAATATGTTTCTGCTAATCTAATACAAATCTATCACTTTGTCTCGTCTTGCCAGGTTAGCTAACGAATCTAATAACAGTAACTAAAAAAAATTGGTAAATAAAGTGTGCAAAAAGCTTCTCTTCTAAGTAAGTGTCAGCTGATATCAAATTTTAAGGTTTTTATGAATCCTTATCGAATAAACTCCGAATTCGAATGTCCGTAAGCCAAACCTATATATTTAATAAATCTGACATTAAGATAATGAACTGGTTTAATACCATCTTCAGCTCTGTCATCGGCAGCTCCATTTAATCTACTTTTGATCCATTCCAGTTGGTCGACATGTTCTAGAGGAAAATGAGAGTAAATTGTAAGGATATTAGGCCACGCAGTTAAATTCAATCTAATTGTACTGTAGGTTCATTTGATTCAATAGCATTGGTCCGTGGGACAAGGTGATTTTTTACAACAAAGTTAGAATCCAACTCAAAAGTACAAACTTTCAACAGACACATACTTAACAATCCTTAACACAATTAAGAAGTCAAAAGTTCAAATACCTGAATTTTTTACGACCGCCAACATGTTGGAAAATTCAGTGCTCATTTCATCATTCAAATCAGATTCATCATTTTCATCATCTGATGTTTCGGCATCAGGCTCCTCATCACCTCCGCCATCCTCTATATAATGAAAAAATATAACCATTCTCGAGTTGCATAATCTCCCCGCAGAATACAGACTTCTTAATTCTTACAGTGTTACTTTAAAGTTTAAACGTCAACAGTCGCGTACTAGGAAAACACTACAAATTGCCTTGATTCCCAAATAGATGCTTGTTGTGGAGCGATGTACCGCTGGCGACCATTTGATGGGCAGAGTAGATCCATAGATCTGGAAACATTTTTGTAATCCGTCGTATACAGTATATATTTGAACCATGTGTCCTTTGAGAATCCTTTCTTCTTTTATCTAATTCTTATTGGAAATGGTATTTTTACCATGTTGATTTTGGGTAAGATAAAAACAAAAGCCTGCAATACTAGTCCTTTAAGGGAGAGATACATTTCATTCATTTAACTACTGTTGTCATTTGCTGATAGGAATTAATATACAGACCCTAACCTTTAAAATTAATATACAGATCCAAAAAAAAGTATTATTGCACGCTGTTGGCGTCAGCAGCTGAAATAACGCGACGGCTTCAAGATACCGATAATTATCAGACTGAGTATATAATAATCATCATTATTCCATTCTTTATTATTAGCATGACAAAATTACTGGATGATGATTGGTTAAGAGGAGTACAATTATTTCATTAATTGTACTGCAGTACAATTAATGATTTTCCCAAAACAAACAAAATGGCGGAAAGGTATTTTAAACAAAAATGTGAAATGAAATTGCCCTAGAGAATACGAACAAAAGCACCAAATTTTGCTTTAACAAAAGAACTAAATACGAACAAAAGCACCAAATTTTGGTTCAAAGTCTTGCAGGACTGGGCTTTGGCGAGAGAATATGATGTTGACATTGAGAAGTATCCAATTTTGTCATGCTAATAATAAACAAGTAATCATGCGATGTTGCTCGTACAATTACACAGCAAAAAATCAATTTCTTAAGAAAAATTATTTTCTTTATTTAAGAAAATATTTTCTTAAAATGAGAAACTTATTTCTTAAGAAAAATTATTTTCTTAATTTAAGAAAATGTTTTCTTAAAATGAGAAAATCATTTCTTAAGAAAAAAATTATTCTTAATTTAAGAAAACTGTTTTCCTAAAATGAGAAAATTATTTCTCAAGAGAAATTACTTCTTGATTTAAGATAACTGTTTTCTTAAAATGAGAATATTATTTCTTAAAAATATATTTCTTGATTTAAGATAATCCGGTTTTCTTAAAATAAGAAAATTATTTCTGAAGAAAAAGTACTTCGTATATAATATAGTTAATTCCACATATAACTGTTTTCTTAAAATGATAAGTTATTTCCTCTAACTGCATGAATGCTTTATTAAAACGAACCTCGTTTTTCAACATAACTCATAAGACGTTTTCTCTTGAAAATATACTGATACATTAATTAACCGTTTCTTGATTGATGGAATGATTAATTTCCTCAATGTAAGATTATCTTTCTCAAAATAAGGAAGTTGTTTTTGCAATATTCTTGAATTAAATTATTAAATTGCACCATGCATGCACATGCATATTACGATTTTTAATCGTTATAGTTTCTATATCAAATTTTTTATACACACATGCAATAATTTCAACTGATCAGGTGTCTCTGTTGTTATTCAGACTCCATATTGTAGTATGAATCGCAATCACATGGATCTCAGCATTTTCATAAAAAGTAAAACCTTAATAGTTATCTCGCTAGCGGATAAGGCAGAGCTTAGAGGACTCTAGACTTGCTCCAACTCTCTTTCATTGTCATATAGTATCGACCACTATAGTGTACATTACATGACGTAGCACGGAATAAGAGGACTCTGGGCGCAGCAATTTGAACTTTGATCCTTCGGCGGTGTGACTTTGGAACAAAGAGCTTAATATTGTGTAAATTATGGTCGTTGAAAATGTTAATTTTGGACACCTAAACGCATCTTTGGTTGGCCAAATTACTTCTGAAGGCATTGAATGTGGTCAGATACGGCAAGGTAATGTTTTTTGTTCATATTTTGTGTATTAGAAAGCCTAGTGTTTTGCAATAACCAGTCGATTTCCCGTCGTTGGTTATACATCTAACATCTCAAGTCTCGACTCGGCAATTCTCATTGCTCGTACATATTTTCTCAACGAAACACAAAAATGGCCGGGTAATAAATACCGATTATTGTCAGTTAATGCTAAAATCTCAATTGGGTCATTCCATTTATTATCCGCACCCCCCCTATGGATGAGCGGATTCCTACCGGTCAGATATTAGGACTTAGGGGATTCCTACTGGTCAGATATTGGGAATTAGCAGATTCCTTCGGCCCGATTCCTACCGGTCAGATATTGCCGTCAAGGTGTAGCATACTATATTGCCAAATATTTATTATGAGAATCATAATAATTTCATTTATTATTCTCACCCTCCCCCCCCCGGTCTGACATTGGGAATTAGCAGATTCCTACCGGTGAGATATTGGCAATTAGCAGATTCCTACCAGTGAGATATTGGCAATTAGCAGCATTCCTAGGGTTTAGATTGATACTGTCGATTCCAACAGGGTACTTCTCTGAAATCCGATTCCTACAGGTAACATTTTTACCAGAGCTCATCCATAGGGGGGGTGCGGATAATAAATGGAATGACCCATTATACAAACAACATGCGGTTTTAACTTGCATATATTCAAGACGATATTCGAGCATGCTGTAGGCCTGTATATGCACATGTATTCAAAATATGTAAAACGACACCAAATAGTGTGCAGTATTCCTGTTTAAATCAAATCTGATTTTGTGTCGACCATTGATATATGCTGATTCAAGTATAAACTCGATAGTTCATAGTGTTTAATTGCCGGTATCAATCTTATAATTTTACATTAAAATTTATAGGGGTTGATATTTATGATGTTACTCTGAGTGTGTATCCACACTGGGCAAAAATATGCCTGGCAAGGGTGGGAATCGAACCCACGACCTTTGGAAATTACTAGCCCAATGCTCTGCCAACTGAGCTACGTGGTCAGATTGGTTCGAGTATGTGATATTTCGGAACTGACTCTACTTCCTTCGACATCAATGTAATCTAATAATCGTGATTTTTTTGTGTGTTGGTGTTGTGTACTCAGGTGAATATGATACCGGTATTTGTGATGTTACTCTGAGTGTGTATCCACACTGGGCATGCTTGAAAAATATGCCTGGCTACAGTGAGAATCGAACCTACGACCTTTCGAATACTAGCCCAAAAAAATCATGATTATTAGATTACATTGATGTTGAAGGAACTGGACTCAGTTCTGAAATATCACATACTCGAACCGACCTGACCGCGTAAGCTCAGTTGGCAAAACATTGGGCTAGTAGGTTCGATTCCCACCGTGGCGAGGCATTTTTTCAAGCTTCCCTGGTCTGGATATACACTCCGAGTAACATCACAAATGTCATATTCACCTGAGTACACAACACCGACACAAAAAAATCATGATTAGATTACATTGATGTTGACGGAACTAGACTCAGTTCCGAAATATCACATACTCGAACCGACCTGACTGCGTAGCTCAGTTGGCAGAGCATTGGGCTAGTATTCCAAAGGTCGTAGGTTCGATTCCCACTGTGGCCAGGCATATTTTTCAAGCTTGCCCGGTGTGGATACACACTCAGAGTAACATCACAAATATCATATTCACCTCAGTACACAAGACCAACACAAAAAAAAATCATGTTTATAGGGGTTGTTCATATGAGAATGTCTATATAAGGGGCCTGTTTAAATGGAGGCAAGTTACCCAGCAAGGCGAGTTTATATGACAAGTTCTGGCAGAAAGACACAAAATCTTGCCCAGGTGAAATGACTTAGTTTACAATCCATGTAAACACTTTACTCAGGAAAGGTAGAAATTTGTCTTGCATTTAAAATAATAGCTTACAAATAAATATGAATCATTAGATATCAGCTTTCCTGAATTTCTTGGCATTAATTCTTGTATTATCATTATATTTTGTATGTAATGATTTTAAATCTTTTAATTAAGCTACTTTGTGTTTTGCACAAATTTAATGCTAAGTTTCTGTTTATATGGAATTTGCTTAGCAAATGCTATATAAGGCCACATAAAATAAATTCCTTGATTCTCATCACTAGAATTTGAAAACGTTGAAGAGCCGGGAGGTTTATATTTTATATTTATATAATTTATCATCAATAAATAAAAAAATAATTCCTAACATTTAATATTTCTGTGATTTCCAAAGTGAAGTGTCACAAACCAAAATGAACATATTTCTCCACGAACAATGACTCAACCCTTGAACTGGATGCGAAGTTCCGTTAAAATGTAATGAAATTTCTTTCCAAAGGTTCGATTTGTTTGAAATTGGCAGTTTAAAATGGCACTAAAAACCCAATTTTAAATATAAAAAACTTAACTGTCTTGAAATATTTTGTCTGGCGGTTCATTTATATTGTATAACAAAATATAAAAAAAATTTCACGCGGCTCTTAAAATACAGTCGGGCGGTGATGAGAATCAAGGAATTTATTTTATATGGCCTAAGCCAATTCCATACAAACAGTAATTTGCCTTGCTTGCATGGCTAACTCACTCGACTTTATATTTACAGGCCTCAACTATCCGGCAGTCTAGCTGGCTAGTTTCTGTGTGAATTGCAACACACAGGACAGGCTATCCCACAAACTAACAAGAAATTCCCCCTGCATTATTGGCAAGAAAAAGGAAGTTTATGTTTATTTGGCAAACTGCTATAGGTCTGTTAAATGAGTTAATATCACTAACGTCTTATTTCTTAATATGCCTACTTATTTCCAACTGAGGGGAGAGAAATAATATCTGGGCTAATTCGGCCAAGTTTATCCATTCCTGTTTTGCTTTGAATTGAATACACGTTGATCTTTTATAGATTCTAAGATCATACATAATTTTCAAAATTTGCATGGAATATTCAGCTCTGGAAAGAAGTCCAAGCACTAAAAGTTTGTAATTATGAAAATAAATTGGTAAATTCACCCTTACAGATTTATTGCATCCATGTCATTTTCCTGGGTTATAGAAAGTTTTAGGCATAGGTTAATTAGCATAATTATATACTGAGTGAACTTTTGCAATATTAGACAGATTTAGATTCAGGATCAGGGCCATACGCAAGAATTTTTCACCAGGGGGCAGTAAGGCCTATATGCTGAAAAAATCCCAAATATCCAAAGAATAATTAATAATGACATTCTAAAAATCGTAAATATAGTTTTCTTTGGGGGCAGCTACCGTCCTCCACCCCTCCCCCCCCTCCCCGCTGTATACGGCCCTGTTCAGGATGTGTGATGGTGTGAAAATATTACAGTTTATTTAGCTTCCAGATCTGTCCACCATGCAGTAATTCGCCTTGTCTTGATGTTCACATCTTCAATTTAAAAGCTCTTTTCCACTCATTGCAAAACCAGGTGACCAGCCTGCTGTGACTGCTTCCATCTGATTGAAATAAACTGTTGAGCATTGTGATTGGATAACATTTCTTGCAGCTAGCTTGCGAGTTGGTTTTTGCCATGAGTGGAGGAGGGTCTTAAGTCTGTTTTGTTCACAGCCAATGTGAAAGTCTATTTTATTTTTACTTTATATTTAAATGACTATGTAATTAATCATATATCATGCATACTGTACATCCATGTAATTCTTTGTTAGGATAACGAAGATCATGAAGTTTGGTGCTCCAAACGTTCTGGTAATGTACCTGTCCTCTTGGTGGAAAAGACGAAATGTTACCTACAGTGTTATCGTTGGAAAGAGAATTCTGGCGGAAGTGGACGTAACAGAGCTGAATGAAGCACTGCAGTGCTGGCAAGTTGTTATCGTTTAGTTTTTGATTATCCACACTTTCTGGAGATTGGATTAATTGTTCCCCAGCATTATGTATTTCAAGATATTAATGTGCCTCAAGAGGTTGCTGGTTTATTTCAGTCAGCACTAAAAAGTTTCCGAAAATTCAAGGCTGATTTAGAGTAGAACATTGAATTTGGCATGTGTATATGTACTGTCTATACTCTCTCCATTAATTTATTTAATTGTTTGATACAGTATATACCAGCAGCTAGGTAACTTGTCCTTGTTGCATGCATCCCGGGCTCAAGATAATGGCCAGTCAACAGTCCATGACCGGCCAAAAATCCCTGTTGACCAGTCACTTTATATCCTCATCAGTCATCGCACACAAATTCACCTTCATACAAATAATGTGATTGTGAAAGTCTTCAGTGTTTTAAAACGTGAAACAATACATATGAGATATCATGGAGATGTCCAATTTGAATGAGGCAGTACTTGCACTTCTTAGTTCTTGCCAGTTTCTACCTTCTGGATTTTGATTATCCGTGGATGCAGGAAATTGGTTTGAATGTTTTTCAGCATTAGATTTTTAAGACACAAATGTGCCACAAGACATTGCCAATTTGTTTAAGTCGACGATGACAAGCTACCAGAGTTTCAAAGTTGATATGCAATAAGCTGGTACTAATACAGTATGTACTGTATGATGAATATCATGTGGTGTAGAAGTTGAACTTTTATATACAATATAAACTATTGCATGCAAGGTGCCATGTATTCTTTATAATTGCTTCCAGTCTATAATCGATATATCAGTACTATAACTTGTTGGTCCTTATAAAATAAAAATAATATATCTCTTCCTTAAACTAAGAAATTTTAAAGAGAAAATATTCCTAAAATAAGAATTGAGTTTTCTTACTTTAAGAAATATCTCATGATTTTCTTAAGATTTTCTTAAGAAAAAAATTCTTAAGAAAATTAGTAAGAAAATTTTCTTACCAGTCTCCCAAGAAAATTTGGACTTATTTTAAGAAAATTTTCTTAAAATAAGAAATTTTAAAGAAAAAATATTCTTAAAATAAGAAATTGGTATTCTTATTTTAAGAAAAATCTCATGATTTTCTTAAGAAAAAAATTCTTAAGAAAATTAGTAAGAAAATTTTCTTACCAGTCTCCCAAGAAAATTTGGACTTATTTTAAGAAAATTTTCTTAAAATAAGAAATTTTAAAGGAAAAAATATTCTTAAAATAAGAAATTGGTATTCTTATTTTAAGAAAAATCTGATGATTTTCTTAAGAAAAAAATTCTTAAGAAAATTAGTAAGAAAATTTTCTTACCAGTCTCCCAAGAAAATTTGGACTTATTTTAAGAAAATTTTCTTAAAATAAGTTTTTTTTTTCTTAAAATAAGAAAGTGATTTTTTGCTGTGTAGGGATTAATAGTACGAGAGATGCATGGCTTGTTACAAAAGAACTACTAACAGTACCTTCGTCACTACCACCATCTTTTTCCTAGTTCGAATAAAGAAATTAAGAAGTTTAATGTTGGCAAAATACTCATACATTATCAATTTAGAACTCTTACGCTGGATTATTAGAACTCTTTACAACTGTTAGGCCATGCATTACCAATTTAGAACTACATGTATGTGGTGTTAAAACATGAAACACATGCAATTAAGCTATACGTTTTGGTTTGTGGAAACACCACGTAAATTTATTACTGCAAAGCTTCCGATCCGTAAGCCCAGATCTTCTTCAATGCTAATAATATCTGTATGAAGATCGGCGCTTACGGATCGAAAGCTTTCTATATAGCTTTCGAAAAATAATCTGTATACATGGCGTTTCCAAAACTACAGGATTACCATGTAACACACCTAAACTCCCCCACCCGAGAAAGAAGCGGCTCATAATAAAACTAGTGCCACTAAATCCAAACGTTATTCTTCAGAATTCTATGGTACCTCATACTCATTGTTTCGTTTCCTTGGTTTCTTGGCACGTTTCTTCCGAAGTATACTGCGGTCTTCAACAATGTTTAGCTTCACCAGTTGATTTATAACCTGAGAAGAGTTTAAAGGTATAACAATACAATAAATGAAAAAATGCAAATGTACATATAGGGATATTCTAACATGTCTAAATCAAGCTAAAATATGATAACTAATCTCGAATCATGAAACGTATTCCAGTTCTCTAATTATTACTTACATAAGTTGTATAATAACCAGATAACTGGAATCCAAGGCATTGAACCTCGTGGTGAGCACATGCTTTCTGTCTCAACTCAGTCTGATGTCATTCACATTTGGTCGGGTACAATCCGAATAATTTTCCAGCCGACCATGCACCTAGCCTTAACTCATTCCTTATTCGATTAAAGTCCTAACCCAATTCTAATCCAGCCTAATCATTCCAATCAAATCTACTCTTATACCACTTAATTATACAGTATAAACACACCTTACGAAGTGCAAAATTCACTTCCCATGCAGCGTTTTAACACTTCCACTGCGATTTCAAACTGAACTAAACATGCAAGTCAAATTCTGATTTCTACAAAAATACTTTACCTGTCGTCTTGATCGAGTTTTGTTGGTCATACTCATCAAAATACCACCAACAATATCTACATAGAATCGAAATAATTTAGCTGAAACAAAACTTGTTTCTTAAGTATGGTATATGTGCACCAACAAATGAGTCATGATGTGCAATACATATACCACACCTTCACTATCCTTGAACTCTTCAAACAAATTACGTAGTTCGTTTTGTTCTTCCTCAGGCCACGCATTTTTGTTCACAGGTTTTCTAAACAATAAGAAGTACAAGCTTCATATTATACATACCGTAATGTGCACGGAGGTGGAAGTCCTATAAGCAATCAAATGAAGAGAGGCTTCATTCAAACAAAAAACACGTTCTTGAGATGATGTCACTCTGAACATGTCCACACCTGGCAAGCTGAAAAGTTTGCTGGAGTCCAACCCGCGATGTTTGGCTCGCTAGTCCAGTGCTCTACCAATTGAACTAGGAAGTCAAGTCTTAACCTCGTATATCACATACTAGTTCACCTGCTAGTTCGGTTGGTAGAGCATTGGACTTAAGCCAGTTTTCCACTTCAAGCGTATCGTACCGAAACGTATAAAAAATGTTTAAATTTCAAAATTTAGTGATTGTTGATTGGTTAATACTTCCATAGTACGCGAAAAAGTTGACTTGCGACGAACTTTTCATTTTGATACGCGAATACACCCGGAAGTACGTGGATTTATTAACCTCTTTTCAATCTACGCATGCTCACCAGTACGTTTCGGTGCGGTACGGTTGAATGGAAAACTGGCTTAACAAACCACACCCGAGTACATACACCACAATCATTGCATTCATAAAAAAACTTACTTTTTTAAAATCTCTTTATTTTCAACCAAACCGAGTGTGATTAGCTTCCCAACAACCTATTTAGAATGAGAGAATGGATACAATAAATACGACAATAAGCCTTAGAAGTGCTTACGTCACGAAATTTTTAATACGCAGGACTTGTGGAATGCACAGTGCATTGTGGGATACTCATGGGTCAATAATTCATTCTTTCGAAATTACGTGACGTAGGCACTTCTAAGGTCCATTTACTATGAAAATAAATGAAGAGAGACCAGCGCTTTTTTGAGAATCTTTAGCGTTTTTATTCACAGAAAACACATAAAAAATCAAGCTGCTTTATAATACTACTATAAATATGCACTAAACGAGATACGTACCTGTCTCCTGGTTCTGAACTCATTGTTAATCGCGTTGAGAATGTTCTCGACAAGATCTATTTTCACGAAAATGGAAGCTAAATCAATCCGAGTCCTATAAATTTTACTTAAACTACGTCTACCGTCCTCCCTTCTAATTTTTGAATTCTCTTTATTACATTTACAAATTCAAAAAGTGCATGTGTCCCAGATTCATTTCGGGATACTTGCACTATTCCTGAGCC